TGTGGGTGATGACATAGTGTAGTATGCGGGACTCCACAGTAAGAAACCCCACCGTATAGGCAATGTGTTGCCCACGGACTCTCCTCTGCTCCTGCACGGCATCACCGCGTGTATATCCTGGAAGTATGGTCCCGCTGTCTGCGTCATATTCCACAGTCTGCGCAGAATCAAAGTCATACCCCAGTAACTCCAACCATACCGGAGCCGTCATGATGATGTCCACCCCGCAGACCCTAGACCTCAGCTCACCGTGATGATAGCTGAGATTATGGTAGAAGGCCCGTACATACAGCTCAGAATATGAACACGACAGTTCAGCCAAGGTCCTAAGATGTGATTCCACCAACCACCTCACAATGTTAAAACCTTCTTGTTCAAAAAAGGTTGTATCAAGTGATTTGGCCCCACAAATCGGTCGGTTAACAAAGTCACGGACAAAAGATTCATGAACCACCCGGTCATTCTCGAACAAGTATCCGAATGGGAGGTCCACAGCAGCGGGGTCTTCCTCTTGTGGCCTTGACGAAGACGGACGGTCTTGTCGTAGCTTTTGTCGTCTCTCATTTCCAGTGCTAGACGATCTTCTATGGCCAGCCATGGGAACAACTGTACCTACAATGCAAGTGGAAACAAAAATCAATTAACAATAACAATATCAAAAAATTTAAAATTCAATATAAAAAACAAAACCTAATCCTAAAATAAAACAGAAATCAGAAACCTAATCCCTAACCCTAAACCAGAAACAGAAACACTAACCCTCAACCCTAACCCAAACCCTAACCCTTACCCTAAACCCTAAAACAGAACACAAAAACCCATTCCTAACCCTAAACACTACAACCCAAACAAAACAGCAACGTAAACCCTAACCCTAACCCTAACCCTAACATAACCCTAACCCTAAGCCTAAGGCACCACATCAACCCTAACCCTCACCCTCACCCTCACAACAAACTTAGCACCCTACCCCTAACCTAAATCCACAAAACCGCAAACATAAATCAAATGCATGAAGAAAACCAAAAAAAAACTAAACTTAAAACCAAATGCAAGTCAGAATACGTTACCTAAATGTCGATTTCGCAAGTGTGAACCAAGGAAGCTTCAATCGCACCTTCAAGGGTTGAGATTCGGACTTGGTTGGAGAGAGGGGACGTAATGCAGCCTTTTAGTCGATTAGGGTTTGAAAATAACCCCCTTTGCGAAATGGGGGGGTTTTAAAAAACCTGATCTGCGACATTTAGTCGACTAAATAATGTGCTTAGTCGACTAAAAGTGCAAACAATTTAGTCGATTAAGGTGAGTTTTTAGTCGACTAAAATTCGCATTTCATAATTTCTGAGTTTAGCTCATTTAGTCTATTAAAAGTGCAACTTAATCGACTAAATGGGGGCAGGATGGTGGATAGTTCTGGGGGAGGGGCAAATTGGTTATTAATTATTTAATTAGGGGCAAAAGGGTCAAAAAGCCATGACAGGTATACACTCTTTATTGAAGTATGACCGGTCATAGGGGTGTTAACGGGGCAAGCCGAGCTGAGCTTTGGTCTTAAAAGGCTAAGTCTGTGTTTAAATGTGTCGGCTTGATCAAGCATGTTATCTGTTATAAATATAATTATCGGCATGTGGCCTGGTTTATTTACAAAAAATAAAAGTTTGGTTTAGCCTGTTAAAAAAACAAGACAACAAAAATTTATTCAAACAGAATATACAATCAACAACACTAGTAATTCCATAAATATTCAGGAATTCAATGTATATCTAAACATCATAATATAAAACAAAATTACTCAAAAAGTCTGTTTAACCAATAAAATAAGGTGAAATGGATTCAGGAAAAAGAGATGGCTATTACAAGTAGTATAAAAAATAAAAAATAATAATATACTAGACCAGCTTGAAAGGCTCTAAGGTCGAGCTTTTAAATTGGGGCATGAGGCCTTTTTATTAAAGGAGTTTTTATATGAGTTCAAGCCTGGTGTCAACAACTAGTTTTAGACATGTAAACTCAGGTCTTTGACGAGCCGAGGCAAAGGCCCCTGTAAGGCACCTGATTCATTTAGCATCCCTAACCGGTCATACTTAGGGTGCGCACGACAACCTTCTCGGAATCATTTTTTTTTATTTCTGTTCTCAGGAACAGAAATGGATAGAAAACTCGTTTAGTAAAACCGATTTATTTTTTTGTTCCCGGGATGAACCAGATTAATTTTTGTGCTGAAAAACGGAAAAAAGAATCAATTTTTTTTTGTTCCCGAGCACAAAATGAGAAATATTTATCTCTCTTAATTACTCTCTATCTCTACCATCAACACCACCACCACTATCATCCCAACACGACCACTGCCACCATCGTCGTCGCCGCTATCGTACCACTAGTGTTGTCGTGATCACCCCCACCGCCATCAACCACCACCTCCACCCATCACTACCACCATGCCATCGTTACCACCAACACAACTACCACCGCTGCAACCACCACCACCATTATCACCGTCACCGTCACCACCACCATCAACCACCACCACCATCATCGCAACATTGCGGCCACCGCCCCCATCACCGCGCCACTGCCACTGCCACCACCACAACACCACCGCTACCATCACCACCACTATCACAACCACCACTATCATTGTTGCAGCCACCACTGACACCGCTACGGCCACCACCAACCACCCTCGCCACCATTACACCATCACCACCACTATCACCACCACCACCGCAGTCACTGCCACCACCACCACCACCACCATCTCCATGATGCCATCACAACCATCACCACCATGCCACCGCTAACATTGTCGCCGCCACCAATGCCACCAACCACCATCCCTACCACCATTGTCGCACCCACTGTCGTCACCTCCACCACCACTTCTATCACCACAACGCCACCGCTACCATCACCACCACTGTCATAAACCACCACTATCATTGTTGCAACCACCACCACCACCACCATCGCCACCATTACACCACTTCGCCACTACCATCACCCTCACCTACCACCACCTCCACTGTCACAGCCACTACCACCACCACCACCATGCCACCGCTACCATTGTCGCTGCCAAGAATGCCACCAACCACCATCCCCACCATCATTGTCGCAGCCACTGACGTCACCTCCACCACCACCATCCCCACCACTACCACCGCCATCGTCGCAGCCACTATCGTCACAACTACCAGCACTATCATCACCTCATCACTGCCACCACCACTGTCGTATCGCTGCCGCCGTCGCCACCACCTGATGATCCAAATTTTTTTATATTTAATAGAAATTATTTTTTATTATATTATTTGTTGTGTTATCAAACGCAATTCTCATTCTCAGAATAAAAATAGAACATGTTATCAAACACATTTTTTTCTCAGAAACTATTCCAAGGAACAGAAATAGAAAAGAATTGTTTCTTTTCAGAAAGTGCTAGGAAATAGAATGGTTGTCATGCACACCCTTAGTATAGTTTGTAAACAAAAAGTTTGTAAATATAACATTTCTCATAATAATAATAATAATAATAATAATAATAATAATAATAATAATAATAATAATAATAATGCAATGCTGATTTGTTTGGATGGAATATTGGTACATTAATATTCTAACATATAGGTGCATAACATATGTTAGGATATTTGGAAACTTATTTATTATGTTTTTATTAAAAAAAGAGTAAATACAATTTTCGGTCCTCAGCAAATTTCACGATACTCGTTTTAGTCCTTAGCAAATCAAAAGGCTATTCGTGGTCCCTAAAATATTCAAAATGAACCAATTTTAATCTTTTTGAGGGACTAATGTGGGTCTTTTTTGAATTTGTGAGGGACCACGATTTCAACTAAATTTGTACATTTTGAATTTCTTAAGAACCACTAATAGCCTTTTTATTTATTAGGGATTAAAGCGGGTATCGTGAAATTTACTAAGGACCAAAAAAGATATTTACTCTAAAAAAATGAAAATGAAAAATAGGAGACAGACGGCGGTTGAGAACTGGGAATTGTTTTTGTAGTTTTTCTTTCTTGATAGTAGAGGTGGCAAAGCAGGCTGCCCGCCCCGCCCCAGCCCGCCAAAAAGCGGGTTGGCCCGCCCCGCCCCGCCTTCGAAGATGGGCTAGATATCTCATCCCGCCCGCTCCGTTTGGGCGGGCTGCCCGCCAAACCCGTGACATTTTACACTAAAAAGTTAAAAAAAAAAAAAATCAGCCCGGGCAAGCTATCGGGCTTGGCGGGGCGGGCTCGGCCCATTTTGCCAGCTCTACTTGATAGTAATCCCTTCTCATATTCGAGAAAATGTCTGAGAAGTATTCTCGAAACAATATCAATGAGAAATCTTGAATATAGACAAAAAAAAATCGTAATAGAAATTTAATAAATTTAAAATCAACCAATCTCCTGACAAACTGTTCGATTGTAATGATATTTTTAATCTTTATTAATTAATAAGATTGAATCGATCACTAACAAAGAAGTTTTAATGTGATTCAAAAAATCTGTGCAGAGTTGGAAAAGATTCAAAAAAATAAAAATAAAAAAATTAAATAATAAAAAATTTGATATTGGAAAAATCCGAAAAGAGGGTTAATTGGTGCCATACCAGCAATTATGTTGATTCGGACAGCCAATTAATTATTAGAAATTAATAGTATCTATCATGTGGAACAACAGATACGTATTGAAGCAGATATTAATTATAATTAGATAATCATACATATTAATAACTTAAAAATTTGGAACCCTGACCATGGTACACAACTTTTGGGACGAGAAAACAGAAAAGTGAAAACAAATATGTGTTCATACAATTGAGAACAACAAAGTAACAGGGTTGGGATGTAAATATATGTCTGTCATTTATCTAAGGGAAAAACAAGTGCACAATGCAAGAACAAATGTAATGGTGTAGCAGGGAACTCTGAGAAATGCAGCACCATTGCTACTTGGGCCTGGATCCGCAATTGCCATAACAATAGGTGAAAGTGACACTCATGGGAATGCCTCATCAGTATCACTGCTTGATGGATGTCGAGTATGATGGACCTTAATGTGAAGTTTCTGTCCAGCTAAACAGTGGCCAGCGTTGCTACAAATGAAGTAAAAGTTCCCTGGCTTGGTGAGGGTGATTGAATCTGAACCAGAGTGGTAGAAAGCCTTCGCAGAGTTTATGTTGCAGTGAATGTAGTCATGGTGGCTCACTTCCATCACGTCATGGTATTGCTTGTGGTAATAGAACACTGCATGTTTATACTCAAATGTTATTATTAATTAATGAACTGGAACAAAATACTGATTGAGTATATTTTAAATATTACTATATATCAATGTTACTTTCCTTTTTTTTTTCTCACCTTTGGATATATATTCACAAATATATTGAACTGGTGTCAACGTTGAGAGTAATTTGTAAAAAATTAATTCATCCCAAAAATTTAAGTTGTTAGATGAGGGCCATTTTAATGATTTATATTATACTCTAACACGTCCCCTTACAAGAAAGCCCATTGAACTTCAAATATGAATAATGCATCAAGCTTAGCTTACTTGTGCTAAGAAATTCCACAAAAAAAATAGAGGGCGATGAGAATCGAATTCGGAACACGAGTCTATGTGATACCATATAAAGAATAAATGAACCAATTAAAAAACCCCCACCCAACACCTTAAAATTTTGGATTGAATTGGTTTTTACATAATGATTACTTGCGAGATCTTATGATGATGCATATAAGATATATACACCTCATAATTTATAAATTTGGAATATATTCATGATTTAGATGCAACAAGTGAATGGCATATGGATGTGACAGAATTCATTAAAACAAAATTTAAGGAATAAGGAAATGAAAAAATAAAATAAAATGAGGAAGAAGGTGTGTAAACTATAAAGTGACGCACACACCGAGAGTATCGCCAACATGGAACCTCTTGGTAGAAGCCCACTTTCTGTAATCAGGGTGGCCTATGATAGTCCACCCAGCAGAATCTCCCACCCTGTAAACAGCACTCGTGGAAACCCCAGAAAGACTAATCAATATCACTGTCACAAACAAGAGAACCATAGCTATCATATCCTTGGTGGAGAAAATGAGTAGTGACCCCATCAAACAAATATGAGATTGAGATCAAAAGGGACAACCATATTAGAAGGCAGAAGACACATGCAGAAGGACATGGAAATTAAGAAGTTTGGTCAGTGAAATTGTGTGAAGTATATATCTTGTTCTTTATACAGAGCTAATTCATGTATATCTTATGAGATGTACACGTAAGTGCAAACTGAAATTGATCTAATTCAGGGGAAGTCGACATTTGATTTATGCATATGACCTAAGTAACTCATCAGAACTTCAAGTGCAATTCTATGCGAAAAATTTCACAAGTTCGAAACGGCATACACTAATTAGTTCTGTTGGCTGTTTAAATTGCTTTGGGACTTGCCTAGCCCAATATTGTGAGCCCAGGCCCAGATAAAATTTTTGAGTAAAATAGCGTAAGACTAAACCTGTAAACCCAATTTTTTAAAAGTTAAGTCAATCTTGAGACCCGGGTTAAGGCCCAAAGCTCAATTCGTCCATGTATCTAACAAATTCGTGTATGTATTCATTGTTTGTTCTTCCTTTCATATTTTCTCTTTTTCTTTTGGTAGAAGATCTAGCTAAACAAAAACTGTGTTTTGTATATCTGCACACATGTTAGATTGTTATGGATATATGTCAAAGTGTTGATATGAATTCTATATATATTTATAGGTAACTCCTCCGTTTTTGTCCTTTTTTTTTAATAACGATTTGTCACTCCTTTTAAATGCGAGATTAATTTTTATTTGAGGTATTAAGGTTATTTCTTTCCGCAAATGCTTTTTTTGCTACTTGAACATTGACATTTATTAGATTTTCAAGTTTAGCTCAACTTTTTTTTTTTTTTTTTTTTTTTGGCTTGAGTCACATTTTTTAAGTATATATAACGTGATATCTTATATTTACAAATTTTTTGTTTACAAACTCTTACCAATTACACTACATATTATTGAGAGTACACACTTAAACAAAAATTTACAAATTCTTACAAAGTATACTATGTACTCCGAGGAGTACACACTTAAAAATATTTTAAGTGTGTACTCCCTAGAGTACATAGTATAGTTGGTAAGAATTTGTAAACAAAAAATTTATAAATATAATATACAGTTAATTTTAGGATTTTATTTTTCTCATGTTGTATGTGACAAATTGTCTCATGCAATACACAAAAATGTAAATGAGATCCACTTTTTTATTTTATCTCTCTCTTTTAGTGGATCTCACCCACTTTTTTGTGTGTTGCATGAGACAACATGAGAAAAATAAAACCCTTAAATTTAATATCAATAACAAGTCAATTTTTATTTTTTTTTTAACTTTTGTGCTCAGTCTTTAAAAAAAAAAAATAACAGAAATCTTCACACTTGTATATTTTGAAAATTTGTTGTATTTTTTTTTTAAAATAAATACGATTAAACGAATCGAGCAGCATTGAGTTTTATTTGATTCAAAACACTACATGGAATGGAAGGATAGGGAGGCAGTTCTTTTGACCCGGTGGATGCCACCTTAGCAATGATGCATGGACACGGACACGAGACACGGGACACGACACGACACGACACTCCGACACGTTAATTCTAAAAAATGTTAAATTTCGACACGTTGGGACACGTTTTGATATTAAATAATATTTTTAATATATATAATATAATTTACTAATATTTAAGATTATAATTTACTAAAGTAAGGAGTCTACCTGGATAAGAGTTTGCTGTGCAATAAAACATGACTCTTTTTTTATTTTTAATCATCGTTTTCACCAATAACTAATTTTTCTAAAACAAACTCAACAATTGTTTGGCTATCTACTAAATTATTATTTATATATTGTTAAAATAAAATATTTGTTCTTAATAAATGATTATTTTTTGCGTGGAACACGAGAAATAATATATTATAAATGTTGACGGTGAATCATAATCTATTATAAAGACTTTTGATTCTGTTTTGCTATGCATATCTTACAACGAGAAATAATATATTATAAATGTTCAACTTTGGCGTGTTGTCAGTTAGGACTCGTATTCCAAAACACGCCACTGCCTTTTGAAGGGTTGCTTGCCATGGTAATTTCCTTTCGTTGAAGATTCTAGTTTTCTTACCAGAAACCAAATAGAAATACTGAGCCTGTGTTAGTTGGATGGGAACGAGAAAGCACTGATGATATCCTATTTAACAGAAAAGGCCGATCCAAGCCTGTCCTGTGTTGTGCTACCTTGTGATATCTTCGAAGGTGGAGATGCAAGGTTCGGGTCGGGTCATAACCCGAAGAAGCTCTTCAAAGAGAGACTCATCGCAGGGTATCGCGAGGGAACCATGGTTGCAGAACCCGTACTCTTCCTCCGCTGTAAGAGAACCTCCGCTTGACGACCGACGACGAGAAGAGAAGGACCAGCGTGAACGAACACGAGAGGATAGGTTTCAGAGTTTTTGATTTTTATTAAATATTTTTTATTTTTTTAATTATAATTTTATTTCTTTTTTACAAAAAAAAAAAATGTCCAAACGTGTCCCAAAACGTGTCCACATACGTTGACCGCGTGTCGGATTCGGTCAAATTCGCGTGTCCCACTAGTCAACGTGTCCTAAAAAGTTGACCGCGTGTCGGACGCGTGTCCAAACGTGTCAGAACGTGTCCGTGTCGGACACGTGTCCGACACTCATTTTTCTCCAAAATTAACGAGTCCGTGTTTCATAGCACCTTAGTTCAAAACATGAAAATCATTACCTTGTTAGTTTACTAATAATAATACCACGGCTTTTTGACCCTTATGCCCCTTAATTAATAATTAATTACCAAATTGCCCTTCATTCAAAACTATTTCGAAAATTTACCCTCCCAACAAACATAACACCAATCTGCCCCTGTTTGACCGTTGACCACGAAGCCTACCCGGGTACACCATTACCTACCCGGGTAAATTTTGAAACTTTTTATCTACCCGAGTATGTAGGGGTGTACCCGGGTAGAGTTCTTGAATCTGGGAAAATGTTTGAATTATTTACCCGGGTAAGGAGCAGTGTACCCGGGTAAACATCGACGGTAGGGTTTTAAAATACCCCAGCAACCCCATTTCGAAAACCCACAAAAGGGGTACCCGAGTAGAGCTGCTGGAGGAGTGTCATCTTGAGCGATTTCAGGCATAATCTTGCACTAATTCGTCTTGTTTGTGATCATCATTCGCGGACCTTGCAACCTCTCTGCCTTCTACCGATTGAAATCGATCAAAGGTGCATTTTTTTTTCAGTTTTTTCAATTATGTTATGATTTCTGTTCTGATTCATTGTATTTTCGTTTATATCATTTGATTCTGTCCGAATTATTTTATCAATTTGTATGTCATACGCTTACCCTAACCCTAACCCTAACCCTGAATCTAACCCTAACCCTAACCCTAACCCTAACCCTAACATGTATCTAATTTCTGATTTTGGTTATTTTTTCAGTTTAATAGTGTGACACAATGACCTCTCGACGCGTTTCAAAGCTGCCAGTGACCCATTCCGAGAGAAGAACCAAGAGTCGTCACGATGGGTCGTCATCCTCTCAGCCCCAGGCTGCTTCGAGTCAGGCTCCAGACTTGACGTTCGGATATTTGTTTGAGGATGACATACCTTCACACGAGAAGTTCGTGAAGTTTTTCATGACCCGGAAGATCTGCGAACCGAAATCACTGGATTCGGCATTCTTCAACCTAGAGCGTTTTGACATTGTGCCGCTTCTTGAGCAGACACATTTACTTCACCTGGCGGAGATGCGGTGCCCATACTCGGAGGTTATGGTAAGAGCCTTCTACCAGAACCTTGGCTACTCGCAAGGCGAGCTGACTTCCCGTGTCTGCGGGATTGATATCATCATGACTGCTCCTATCTGGACGGAGCTACTGGGGTTCGATTTTGATGGTGTCACAGGAGCAGCACTATATGATGGAGACAGCCATCATATATTTGGTGATTATAACCGGGAGACCATTGTTACAGAGACTAGGAGGGCAGACGCTGAGCCCGGTCATTTTGCTCATTATCCTGTTAGCAACTTGTCAGTTTCTGCTCGCATTCTTCATTATGTGGTGACACATATTATTTTCCAGCGCCCGCATAATCACTCAAAGGTGCTGGAAGGGGACTTTGTCATCCTGTGGGCCCTCCTTCACAGTCAGCAGGTGAACTGGAGGCATTACATATGCATACTGATGTGGAAGGCAGCCAAGTCAAAGAAGGCTGAATTGCCTTTTGCATTTCTGGTGCAGAAGATTCTGCATAGATTTGGAGTGCCTATGGCAACAGAGACCTTGAAGACCGCCAGAGGCTGGAATGCTATATTTGGTGAGAGGCTCCTGAAGCAGTGTGGGATCCTACCGAACAGAGCGGGTATCTGGACGTGGAAGAAGGCACCAGAACCACCTGAGATCCCATTCCACCACGATGCTGAGATGGAGGATGCACCTGCAGGTGATGTGTTGGTCTTTATGAGTTTATGCAATTTTGTGTTGTTTATTTTTTAATGTGGTATTTATAAGATGTGTTTTTCATGGTTTATGATGTAGGCCTTGATGATGATGGCGTTGCTGAGGTTGATGTCAGACCGACACGTCCCACCCGCAGTCAGCGACCACCAGCTCCTTCTGAGGGTGGATGGACACTTGATCATGTCATGGCATCCTTATATGATCTGACTACTGACTTTAGAGGATATAGACAGAGCACGAGCAAGTGGCGAAACCAGATGGACACAAGGGTTGCACGGTTGGACACAAGGGTTTCACGCTTGGAGGGTTTAATTGCCGAGGGTGCCCATACTCAGGAGGAGGAGGAGGAGGATGATGACAATGGGGATGACACACAATCGGATGAAGAGAATGGGGAGGACACGCCATCGGATTAGTGTGTCCATAGGGTTTCATATCATTGATTTAGTTTGATGTAATGTAGTCATTTTGGTACATTTAGGAACTTTACCTACATTGCATGGATGTTTTTGTACT